GTGTATTATTGTACTGCTCAGTAAAACCCTCTTCTCATCTGTAAACATAATTGTTGCTGTACCTCTCATTGCTGTTATTACTCCTGATAGGAATGATAAATTATGCAACCAATTGTTTCTCCTAAACAAGTGAATGACAACTGTTCCAAATATAAACTTCGCTGTGATGCATATATATTCTGTCTTACCATCATCCAATGTGATGTCCATAATTGTGTCGTGCATCCTGGATGAGTCTTCCTTCTCGTTCGGGAAAATACTCAAGTCTAAAAATAAAAACAAGAGAAATTACATTTTAGGTAAAGTACGAACTCAACAAATGATTCATGAATATGTAGCTCGATCCACTTTATAAAACCTCCAAAGTTCCTTAGATATTACTTATAAAACCTACAATTTTATATATAAAAGAGCACACTAATCTATTCAAATTATTCGACGGTCATCATCATCATCATTAATTATCATCATCATCATCATCATCATCATCATCATCATCATCATCATCATCTATTTCAATTCATATTCATCAATCTCCAGAGCACTATATATATATATATATATATATCTTTCAANCAACAAGTCCCCGCATACGGCCATCTTCGTCGCTTCTCGCTATACTTTGGGGCGGTAGGGTCTTTCAATGACCTAATGACAGTCTGCCAGCGTCAGACTAATTCTATTTAATTGAAGTAGACACGCCTGAGGCCACTGTGAAGTGAGGGAGACTGGACCGGTCCGAAGAGCATGCCCTTATGATCCGCCGTCAGGAATTCATTGACCTCTGGCGTGTACAACTGATGAGTGCATCAATCACTCGCCTTTGAGTTTCCGACGGGTTCGTCGTAATTGCTGCGACAGATTCTCACTTATTTTTCCCCAGCAACAACATCGTAAACACATATGGCAGAAGGACGCAGTTCAATTGAGTGGGGTATAGATACAGCAGGCTTTCAGCTCATTCTCTGACGCAAAACCCTGACACGATAAGCCAGACGGTTGAAATTGGGCCGGACAGTTATGTTACATAGTGAAAAGGCTATGACCCTCAACCTGTCGGCATTTCAGGAACGCAGCCATCTGGCCATGGTCCGGCGGTGATGAAGGGTTTGCCTCTCTTGCCCAGCAACGGCATGAAATCACCAGTCTGCAGGGACTGACTCAGAAGCTAGGTGATACAAGTACATGCTCACGATGAGTAATCCAAAACTCTGGTGCCGGTCGGAACGTACCCTGGTCGGACCGCGCAGTCGATGAAATCGCTCATGGACTCGAGCCAAGGTCTTGGCCAAAGCAATGTTCAGAGATCATGGAATGTTTCGAAGATAACGAGTGCAACCAGGACTAGACGGCAAGTACTGTGCAGATTTCAGGCAACCATGGGTCCCCGTCTTGCCATATCAAGCAGTGCAAGACTCGCATTCAATTGATCCGATTCGACGGACATTGCTAACAATGTCGGGCAAATATGGACATGCAGGCGGCTGACTGGCTGGGGTACCTGGCATCGGAACTAGTACTGGGCTTGGAGAGGTCGCTCTGCAGCGCCAAGAAGAGCAGGACGAAGACTTCAAATGATTATTTCAAGGGTCTGATAACACGTGGGGGCAATCAGGTGAGATACATTGTTGTTGACACGGGGCGATGTCTCGTTGACTGATCTCCAAGATTATGGGATTGTTCTTCAGCCGAGGAGAAAATGAAAGCGTTGTCTAAGAACGAAGCTAGAATACGTTCAACTATGTCTGAACAAGTTGTCTCCTTGTGAGCCACGACAGCACAGAGATATTGGCCCCGTTCGACTAGCGACCTTGAGTTTGAGTATCCTTGTTCCGGATAATGATAAGCACTGACACCAGTCATTTTTTGGCTGGACTTCATATGGAATATGTGCCGGTTACAGTCAAAATCCGTGAGATGCCAATCAGAGAGCCCGAGGGCTGGAAGGACGTCACTCATCCAGGGTGAACCTTTCCACTACTAAGGCTGTATTGATTCCGAACGACAATAACTAGCAAAGCCCTGAAGACTCTACACCACCATCCGGGAAGAAGCGAGTCATCATTCGCGGCAATATCTTACCCTGTTCATTGGCCACGGATTTCCGAAGCTGACTACGTATAAGGATTCTTAGAACGAGCCCGACTGCTAAGCTAATGCCACCCCCGGCCAGGACAACTGCCCGTATCGGGCGCGGCAATGGTGAGAAATCGTATAATCTCCCGTCGCGATTAGTGAATCTCGGATCCGTAGAGCCGGCTCGAAGAATTCGCAAAGGTACGTGCTCGGAAGACTTCCCATTGTCTATGGAGGCTTCACAATCCAATCACGTGATACGAGCACTATTACGAATAGATTAAATATCAAACCAAGATTAGAAGGTAGCGAACAGAGGCAGTCGACAGCCGTGAAGAATTCCCTCCTGATTGATTGTCTCGGTGTAAACTCAATAACGCGCTAGAAATGCCCACGTTCTAATCCCTGCTTGAAGAAATACAATCACGTTTCTAATGTAAATATAACACTAAACGATCGAGATTCACATGGATCTCAGTGCACCGTATGAGACTGGGAGATAATGCCCAACCTATCAAGCAGTGCACCAAGTACGGGTCCTTCCACTTGTGCTGACGAGTTGGAGGAGCAATGGCGTGAAATGTTGAAGATGGGTTTGGAGGTCCTGCACCGGTCCCGGTCCATCTCCAGTGGTCCTAGTGAAAAGAAGTCTGGGCTGTTCCGGTTTTTGTGATATTTACGGAAGCTACCGAATGCTGTTAACCAAGATAAAGGATGCCTCACTCCTCGCCCAGATTGAGACTCGGCTAGCAACCATTAGTCGGTGCTGGGGCATCTTTAGCAACTGTGAGCCTTGACGCATGTTACTAGGCAAGTCCCTGTCAAGCTGACCATCGAGACAAACGCGGAGCCTTCTCTGACTGGCACGAACTTGTATTGGTTAAATACCTCCCTATGGGCTCTGTAATGCACTCGCTTGTTCAGAGATTCGATGGGTTGCCATTCGCTTGGTCATGAAGCTGCAAGGTCATGGCTACTTTACTTGATGATCACAATTTTCACGAAAACAGTTTGATGAATCTGGAGTCTACAAGACGGCCTTTTTAACGCCCATATCGATAAGTAAGGCAGGATTGAACTCCACCCACAAGTGTGCAATCTCTGCAAGGACGCAGATCAATCTTTCTCAGAGCAGCCACGGTGAAGGCCACATGTTTATTAACTTGCATTTATTGGCTTTTTTGGGGGCTAAAATCGGTACGTATAGCCGCTTGGAATCAAACCGATCCATTTAACATCCAGAAGATAAAGGACTTGGTCGGCCGAAGACGGGAAGCATGGAGCAGAGTTTGTCGCCTCATGGCTTCGACTACTCTGTCGTTTGCGTGGAGGGAATTGTGCAAAGCGATCGCCAAAGCGCCCATGATTCAAGCTCAAACTGGAAAGGCATTTATCCCTTTTGTGTGGGATGATGCATGTCAAGAGAGCTTGCGACAGCCTGAAAGATCGACTGATGTCGCCTCCAATCTGGGTTTCAAGTGGGGCGCGGAATACGCTTCACCCTGGCACTACGGCATGCATACAATTTTGGCGGTCTGGATGTGTTAAACGTCAGGGTGCAGGATGACATGGAGGGGCGGGCAAATGGTGAACTAACTAGTAAAGCCGGGGTCTAGTCGTCAGTGCGGTCTGTGGAAGCAACTTCGTCCTGGCGCGATGCGGGCGCGACCGATCGTCGTTTAGGCAATACTTTAGATACGTTAATAAGAATCGAAATAACATCTCTTGAAAAAATCTCTTGTAATTCGCAACACTTTTAACACGCTTATCAAAACTGGTATCGAAGGGCATAGATATATAGATGGGCACTGAAGATTCTCTGATTATCAAGCCGAACTCGAGAACTGGCATTGGCGGAAAAGCATCGCGCGGAATATAAACAAGAGCTTTGTGAAAGAGTAAACATTTGCATCATACTGTGTTATAATCTCATATCGTATATAGGCATGTGGTTGTTCGCGCATGAGATGCTCCTGCTAACGCGATGAGTTTAAATTTATTAAATGACAGTCATATAGTTCCAAATTCATTCTCCACTTGCCTGATTATACTGTACAACCAATGTTTTTCTGTGTTGAAGCCATTCCTACATGGCGTAGCCGCCTTGCGACATGGTGGGCCATGTATGTCTATGTTACCATATTGTCTATGTAGCAGTTATTAGTTTATATATTATATTGTAAACATTTGTAGCAGACCACAACAGGATGATACTATGTGACGCTCCAGTCTGTGTTTTATTTTTTTCAATTCTTGTTATTTTGCTTAACTAGTTGATTACATTGAATTCCATGACCATAATCCTTCATTATCTTACTTTCAAACAGGTTGGATATTTTACCAGACCAATAAGACTAGTGCAGATCGTACACGCCTGAGTACACAATCGGCGATCTTCAGATGCAAAGCACGTACATAAGATCTTCATGCTGAATCGGTGAAGCTAATTTCAAGAAAACTATTTCACTGAGGGCGCATCCGAAGTATATACGCTAACAGCAGTTTGACAAATCATTATGATAGGCAAAAACTGCAAGGATTCTATGAAACAAGGTAATGTAACAATAACATGTGGTTTACATCTGTAGTTGTAGCTATAATATTTACAGAGCAGGATAGGTAACAATGGGACACTAGATCAGCTTAGCTGGAGTCTAGGACGTGTTCAGTTGTTGGTCTAACAATGTGTAGTAGACATGCAGGCACCAACAGTCCTGCATGTGACACTGTAGCAGGTTTTATGTGAAGATTAACTAGTAGGATTGTGAAATGTGTAGAATGGGAGATAAAATATGTGGTTGGGGAGTTAGGAGTAAATGTGGATACAACATATATATAAACTATTATATACAATATACATGTATATATACATGTCCATGCAGACTCATAAATATGCATGTGCACAGTGCGTGTCTCGATATACAATATATATATTGTATATATATTATACAATACAATATATTGTAAATAATATCTCTTTAATCTTCCATGTGTTGATTTGTTAATTTGCAAGGTTGAAACAATTTAGTTGAGTAACTATAATTTATTTAAATTGAATATTGATGTTTCCCATTTCAGATTCCTAAGGTTTGTGCGCATAGCAAAACCTAGTGGCAGTACTTCTGTGTTCATATCATCCTCGATGTGGGCTGAGATGAAGAAGTCTGTTTCCTATCCAGTTGATGTATCAGTAGATGAAACCGGGGTCATAACTGAGGCGCAGTGTGAGTGCGGAGCTGGACTGGGCCCAAGCGCTCATTGCAAACATGTCACAACCGTCATGTTTGCTGTAACAAGATTTCTGGAGGAGAAACAGTTGATCACTGAAGTTACATGCACAGAGGTTAGTTGGATTTATTAAATAATAAACACAGTATTTCTTCACATTTTTCCATAAATAAAATATGTGTGCATGTTTGTAGTTGAACAGTCTCCAGAAACTCCAGGTAACGGTTTTTTTAGTTGTACCTACCTTGTATTTGAGTTCAATTTTGTGGATATTTATTTTAACCAAATACAGAGGCATGCATGCTCCATTTCCTTCGACATTCATTGGCAATCATTTGAAAACAAGTTAGGGAGAGGTCACCATATTGTTTTCTTTACTAATGTAAATATTGATCTCACCTCTATTATTATATATCTCTCTCTTATAAATTTATTTGTGGTTCTGCCTCTAAAATTAATTCCATTCATTTTTTGTAGGTCCTTCAGACATTTCATCGAGCGAAGCGCCATCAAGGAACACCCCTCAAGATGACAGATGCGAGTACCTCATCAGCAACGGCAGCTCCGGTACTCAAATTATGACCCTAGACCTGTAGAGTACAGAAAACTAGAGAATCGCAATGACACCTTCAGGAACACTTGCATCAACTACCAGGTAAGTGCATTCAGCTTGGCACCGTCTACATTTTTGTGTTTTAATTGAACGACCAATTCTACTTACTTCTTGCAAAGATAACTTAATATGTTAGGAAAGTAGCTCCTGTTTCTCCTGTTACATTTGTTAGACATCTGTGATTGGTTTAATTATTGTATTAACACATATATCCTCTATAATGCTCAAAGTAATTTTTCTATTTTAACTGGCCACTCAATGTTTTGGAAACCCAGACATTTCAGTATGCTGCTACTATAAAATTGTTACTCTTTACAGGCATCCCATGCTGGTTCTATGCCGTCAATGCAGCTATTCCCACCAGCTAATCCTTGTGCGATGATCTATGACCATGATTACCTAAAGCAAGATGGTATTGCCAAGTTCTTTTCAGAAGAAAAGGTAATTTATAGATACCAATCGTTGATGTGTTGATTTTAATTTTAAACTAGTTTTGTTAATGTGTCTAATCTATAGTATTGATACAGACTTTTTGAAGAACACAATTTGGCTTTTGCACTACTTAGATGTATTAGGATTAGAATGTAAAATCTAAGGCATCTAATCACCTGCATTGAGACCGAAATTCTAAAGATCTTAAAAATATCTAATTCCAGAGTATAACATCCATTTCATAATTGTTAATGTGCTTCTTTTGAATTTTCTAGCAAACAACAATCACTGATGCAGAGGTCAACACCATCGAAGTGGAGACTAGGGGCCAGAGTGCGAATAAAGTATGGAGGCAAGAAAGGGAGAAGAGAATAACAGCATCGAACTTCGGCACAATCGTCAAATCAACAGAGAGGAGGACAAGTTAAGTTAGCTAATTCACTAATGTCAACATTACAGATTAACGCAAAAGCAATAATTCATGGTAAAGATATGAGTCAGTAGCAATAGAAAAATACGAAGAGGTCAGTCAGTGTTACAACTGAGTGCGGCTTATTTGTTAGTAAAGAAACCCTGTGCTTGCAGCATCTCCTGATCGTGTTGTTAATGCAAATCTAATTGTCGAAGTCAAAGTGCCCCTATGTTGCCAAAGATAGTCTAATTTCAGAAATAACTGTACCATATTTAACGACTGATGAAAGCGGAAATCTTAGCCTCAAGAGAAACCATGATTACTTTTATCAAGTGCAGGGACAACTATATTGCAGTAAGAGGTCAGAATGTGATTTTGTAATCTATACACTCGATCAAGGACATTAAAATTATAAAGGTAGCCGCTGATCCCGAATTTATTAAGTCTATGGTTGATGTGTTGATGACCTTTCATGAAGACTACCACAAATGTGCCATTATTAACAAATACATCTATAAAAATTATTTCGATTATCGTTTCTAGTGCTTAAATTGCAAATATAAAGGTGCCAACTACTGCACAATTGTATATAATTCCTGAATAGTGGTGATGTTGCTTGTTTTATAACACTATGTAAATATCAATAACATTGAACAGCTATATAGTATTTGTACATAATGTATATATTAGTAAATACTTGTACTGTTGTTTGTCAATAGCAAATAACATAAATTATGAAACAAGGAAATTGAGTTTCTGTTACATATAATTAAATTGTTTGGCATATTCAACTAGACTCGTGGGAATATCCCACACAATCTGCATGCACTACGAATCACACTCACAAATGAACTAGACATTCACACTTATTTGGCACAACACTAAAAAATCAGGCAACTAATGACTGGTAGCATATATTAGACAATAATAATATCACATAATAATACTTTTCTTGTGAATGTTTATCTATACCAACTTTATCTATGCTGTTCTTGGTACAATGCATTTTCTAAAATTGCAAAGGTAGCAGCAAGCTGTTGTTATCTCACTAGCAAGTGCTATCTCAGTTTTGTTTAACCGATGCTCTAAAATTTTATATGTCTTGACTAGACCAATTAATCTTTCAATGTGCACTCGTTTACTGGCAACCTTTCTGTATTTTAAAATTGTGGATATAGATAGACGGTTCTTATTTTTGAAGAATTGTGGAATGTTAATGAACACGTTTGCTGAAACAAATAGGTCTTGTATGTTGAACCCCTTATCCACCATTATGCTGTCTCCAGGTTCGCACATCTGCTGCATGCCGCTCCTCTCTATTATCTGACGGTCACTGGCTGATCCGCCATATGCATCAGATACGTAAGATATCAGCCCTCCTGGTGTTCCTCCAACCACAACTTTGGCCATGTTCTTGTTTTTATAAGTGGAAAATGTCGCTTGTTGTAACAGTGGATTTTTTGGCTTTTTAATCGGAAATTCTGTGCCATCTAGAATCACTCTTGTTGTTGGAAATTTTGCACGAAAGTCAGATGGTGTGAAATAGTATACTAGATCTTGACTCGGCCACCAGGTGAGCTCGCTCCACTCATGTGACATAAAGTTAATCCATGTCACAAAGATATTTGTGACTGAATTTACAGATATGGCAAAGGTTCTTGAGATTGCAAAATTTGGCATGTGTTGACGGAGCTTGACCAAGGTGAGAAAGAACTGGTCTATGACTGGCAGCGATGGTGATACTCTATGGAAATAGTTTAGATGATATGCTGCTTGTCCAAGTGTTTGAAAAACGAATAGGAATTTTGCATAATTCTCTAGTCCTGTGTAGAAGTGTATTCCCTTAGGGTCGTTGACAAAGAATGTAGCTGAAAAACGTTGAGTTAACTGACACTGGACAGCCACATCTCGCATCACAGTTACAGTTTCCTGCAATGAGTTGCCTGCACCAACACCTCCAACGTGATCATCAGTGGCTTCTACAATTTCCTCGTAGACGTCTACATTAGATGACACATTCGCCTTATCCTCCAACTTTCGCCGTTTTTCTATTTCACTTTCTTGCGCCGCATCAAATTGCACCTTCCTTCTAGCTCGTTCCCTCCTTTCCAACTCACTAGAAGATGATGCCTTCTGCCAGGGGAATATATGTGGCACAGCAGTCCTCTTTAGTCTTTTTTGCAGTCTACTGGTACCTGCCAAAAATATGGTCCATATTAATTAAATTATTAGGTAATTAGATTGGATCTTTCATTATGTAACAGTGTAAACAGTGTTCATATACCTAGAAGCATTTACCATAGACTACACTATAGACCTGTAACTGTATACAGTATTCATTGTCAGTATACAGTAACTGTATACAGTAGGCCTATATACTGTATACAGTATTCATTGTCATTGTCACTGTCAGTAATCATATGCGATTTATTTTGCAACATCATAAATAATTTTGTATTGCTGTTACTTGCTGTTGATCTTGTAAATCAAGTAAATACGTGATCTAACAGTAAAACCGCGGTCACTATACAGTTCATTCACAAAGATTCATAATCATATTGAAAGAATGACAAGGTTAGGAAACGAGTCACAGCCACACACATCCGCACCGTCGTACGGCATGCAGGCATAGTACTATAGTCGCATAGTCATACAATTAGCTATGACTTAGTAGTTACACCATTAGTTGTAATTAGTATTAGAGAAAATAATTACCTGTTGTAGTAAGTCCCGGCATATAATCATCATCATCGAAGTGTTCCGAACATACTACGGCATGCTTTGACGGAACCCAATCTTTTTCTCCTCGTCTTACTGCTGTTTTCCATGCCTTAAACCGCGATTCATCAGATCTAGGGAATGCATGCCCTCCACTATTATTACAGAATGGTACGCAACACTCTGTCGGCATTTTACCAAAGATTTTGAACGAGTTATCTGACAACTCATATTCGTGATACACTAAACTTATTTACTTTCGGCTATGCTTTCGGTAACCAAGGGACCGAGTTGCGTTCAGCGCCGCCGAGCGGCGGATCGATATTTAGAGTTCCCCATTAACTAGCCGTTACTACGTCTGTGTATCCCTATCTATCACATAACCTCCACCTCCTATAACACCATAGCCGTATATTGTTCTGTCTATCCCCTATCACGTTTTTCAGCCTTTCTCCCCTGGCAAAAACAAGGCCATGTAATATGCACACACACAGATCTGCCTCTATAATATATACTGCCATATCGTAGTAGCTATCGGAAGCCTAGCTACGACTCTCTATCATAGATAAACGGAGTCACCCCGACAGAGCGATATTTACGTTGGGTTTTTACATTAGTTTTGGGTTAAATTTAAAAGTGCAATTTATTATTACTATTTCGTGTCTTAGCACGACCATGATGAATGAATACTCCCAATACCAATACCCAATACCCAATAGACCTGGTCGGAGATGCCCTTCTCCGACGCACTGCTGCTGTCGTCACCGGGCTGGGAGACAAAGAAGAAGAAGAAGAGGAAGCAGCAGCCGGCCGGAGGAGAGAGCGCCAGTCAGCGGTCCGGCGAGAGGGACGCCGCCCCAAAGAGAGAAGTGGGAGCTGCGGTCAGCCGTGACCAACCGGCAGCAGTTCCCCCGACGATTCCCACGAGTGTGGATTGGCCCGCGATCCTCGTGGCGGCAACAGAGGCGGCCAGGAGGAGCCAGGCGCCCATTGATGCCGCGAGGAACCGCAGTCCGGCGCCAGCGACACGAGAGAGGGGACGGAGGTCTCCTCGTCGCCACCACGTCCAGAGGGGAGCTGGTCGAGAACGCGAGCAGCAGGGGCGCGGGAAGAAGCCAACGAGGGACGTCGCTAGACCCCAACCTGGCGCGGGGAGGGGACGGGCAGAAGCCCACCCCAGAGTTCATCCGGCCCCACCTGCCGTTT